TATATATATATGTATATAAATTAGTTGGACATAGTGGTGCACGCCTGTAGTCTCAGCTACTCAGGAGGCTGAGGCAGGAGAATCGCTTGAACCCAGGAAACGGAGGTTGCAGTGAGCTGAGATCATGCCACTGCACTCCAGCCTGTCAACAAAGATAGACTCTGTTTCAAAAAATAAAACAGGCTGTGCATGGTGGCTCATGCCTGTACTCTCAGCACTTTGGGAGGCTGAAGCGGGTGGATCACGAGGTTAGGAGTTACAGACCAGCCTGACTAACATGGTGAAACCTCGTCTCTACTAAAAATACAAAAATTAGCTGGGCATGGTGGTGTGCGCCTGTAATCCCAGCTACCCAGGAGGGCTAAGGCAAGAGAATACCTTGAACCCAGGAGACAGAGGTTGCAATAAGCCAAGATCACACCACTGTACTCTAGCCTGGGCAACAGGTGAGACTGCATCTCAAAAATAAATAAATAAATAAATAAATAAAAATAAAAATTAAAAAAACCCTCCTCAAATAATCCTAATCTGAGTCTGCTGTTTCTTGCTGAGATCCTGACTATTTGATTACTTGCAGTCGAAAGCAGCCTAAGTGATATCCCTAGCACTAGACAGTACTTAAAACCCAGAAAACACCATAATACAGGAAATTTTGGGAACACTTTCTATTAGTTTTTTTTTTTTTTTTCTTGAGATGGAGTCTTACTCTGTTGCCCAGGCTGGAGTGCAATGGTGTGATCTTGGCTCACTGCAACCTCTGTCTGCCTCCTGGGTTCAAGCAATTCTCCTGCCCCAGTCTCCAGAGTAGCTGGGATTACAGGCATGCGCCACCATGCCCAGCTAATTTTGTGTATCTTTAGTAGAGACGGGGTTTCACCATGTTGGCCAGGTTGGTCTCAAACCCCTGACCTCGTGATCTGCCCACCTCGGCCTCCCAAAGTTCTGGGATTACAGGCATGAGCCACTGTGCCCAGACCCATTCCAGTTTTGAATGGAATATGTCTGTGGGTGGCAGGAGGCAATAAGTGATGTCATGGAAGAGGAAATAAATGGCACATATACGTGTCTTCTGGGTAGCCTTGGAGGAAGATGAGAATCATATCTGAATAACTCTCAGTAATACATAATGAACGTTCATACATATTTTTATTCACATAAAATGTGAGGTGGATCTCTTGATTTTCATTTTATAGATGGGGTCAGTTAAGGATTAGAAATGTAAAGTAACTTCTCAGGGGTGCAGCAAGGGGGTGAACCAGGAATGGAAACCAGATCTACTGACTCAAATTCCGTGGTTTTCTCTCCCCAGGGCTTGTCCCTTCCTCCATGAATCAAGCCTAGGAAGCTGAGATGGAACAAAAAAAGTAAAGGAAAAGGAAGAAAAGGTGATTTTGGGTTTACACTACCCTTCTTAACATCTAAGATTTTTCTGAAATTCCTTCAACAACTAAGGAAAACCACACACACTAAAAAAATCCAACCCAACAGCTTGCAGTAGCCTGGGATTCCAGAATAAATACTCAAATTGGCAGGACACATAGTATCCTTCCTCTCAGTGGGTCACGTGAGGACATTGCCCAACATCTGTCATGTGTGTCTGGGAATATATATTTATTTCTTGCTGAACGCTCAGATACCTCTTTCTTGTGCCAAAAAGAACTGCTACATCCTACCTTCTGATCTAAGCTAAAAATGCCATCAAAACCTGGCCCCAAAGACCTACAAATTCTTTTAAACACAGGACGCTTCAGTATCCTCCCAACCTCCTAAGAGAATGAGTGAGATGAAATCACGCCAAATGTTGAGTAAATGGGAGGGTTTTTTTAGTGGAAATCATAATGCTATGCTGTGGCCACATGTTCACAATACTTCGGGGGTGGGAGGGTGGTCCCTCTGCCTGGATAGGCTGGAAGGCTATGTAACATTTTGTTCAGGGGAAATACAGTCCAGATTCAAGAGTCAAGACCAAATCACAAGACTCACTGGAGTCAAACACTGGTACCAGCCCAACTGCTTCTAGACAGCTGTGCCTTCACCCTAACAAAACCACCTAGAACATACCTATATGGAAAAAAACAAAGCAAAATCTAGACATCCACAGAATTTCAGCATGCGGCATCTCAGAAAACTGATCCAAAAATCACTTAACATCTGATGATTGTTCCCAAGAGCTGCTGAAGGTGGCTTTAACCACCAAAGGGATAATAATGTAGTGAAATTAATTACTCACTTTATCCCCAATTACCAAATTATTATTGAAAACAGCTGGTTTTTACCAATTCAGGAAGACATTCAAGACCTAGTACTGAGTGGGGAGGTAGACTACAGAACAGTTTTTGTGGAGAAAATAACCACCAAAATATGTGACAGAATAAAACCTTGGGAAACAGGTAATGTCAATTGCTGTCTGCGTATACTGAGCTCATAAACTATTTTTTTCCCTTTGTAATTTTTTGCATTTTTGCAAAGCATATATAATTGGTTTAAAATATATATATTTTTTGACATGGAGTCTTGCTGTGTCACCCAGGCTTCCAGGCTGGAGTGCTGAGGCACAATCTTGGCTCACTGCACCCTCTGCCTCCCGGGTTCAAGCAATTCTCCTGCCTCAGCCTCTCAAGTAGCTGAGACTACAGACACCCGCCCTCACGCCTGGCTAATTTTTGTATTTTTAGTAGAGATGGGGTCTCACCATATTGGCCAGGCTGATCTCAAACTCCTGACCTTGTTATCTACCCACCTTGGCATCCCAAAGTGCTGGGATTACAGGCATGACCCACTATGCCTGACCAAAAGAGTCTTTAAATAAGAATTGTTTTTAGGAAGTGCTTTCATACCTCAATGGGGTTATACAAATCCCTATTCTGCTGATTTGTCATATGATCAAAATTACTGGACAAGGCTCAGTAAAACAAAGCACTGAGGAAAAAAAAAAATACCCAAATTAGCAGACAATACTTTTATATTTTTTTAAAAGAGTGGGCCAAAGGTTGCAGTGAGCCGAGACTGTGACACTTCACTCCAGCTTGAAAGGGAACTAGCTTGAAAGAGAACTAGCTGAAAAAATGTCCAAGAATTTCAGCTAAACCTAGCATTACCATGGGAGTCACTGGTATCCAATTTTTTTTTTTTTTTTTTACATGGCAGCTGAATCTAGTCTTATAAGATGTTGAAAAGTGGTATAAATATTTAGTATTTTCATCCTTTAATTTTATTATATCAACCTGAAAGATTAAATACTTAATCCTCCATACGAGTCTCTCTCTTTTTTAGATAAGAGTCTCGCTTTGTTGCCAGGCTGGAGTGCAGTGGCATGATCTCAGCTCACTGCAACCTCCAGCTCCCTGGTTCAAGCTATTCTCCTGCCTCAGCCTCCTGAGTAGCTGGGATTAAAGGCACATGCCACCATGTCCAGCTAATTTTTGTATTTTTAGTAGAAACGGGGTTTCACCATGTTGGCCAGGATGGTCTCAATTTGCTGACCTCGAGATCCGCCCGCCTTGGCCTCCCAGAGTGGGATTACAGGATTAAGCCACCATGCCCGACCTTTTTATGCTTTTAAAAAACTTTTTTGGTATTGCTCCTTGTCGGACAGGGGTATCCCACTGCCAGCGTGCCCATGCAAATCTTTTTTTTTTTTTTTTTTTTTTTTTTTGAGACGGAGTTACACTCTTATCATCTAGGCTGGAGTACAGTGGTGCGATCTTGGCTCACTGTAACCTCTGCCTCCCGGGTTCAAGTGATTCTCCTGCCTCAGTCTCCCAAGTAGCTGGGATTACAGGCATACAACACCATGTCTGGCTAATTTTGGTATTTTAAGTAGAGGTGGGGTTTCACCATGTTGGCAGGCTGGTCTTGAACTCCAGACCTCAAATGATCCACCCTCCTCGACCTCCCAAAATGCTGGGATTACAGGCATGAGCCACTGTGCCCACACAGCCATGCGAATCTTAAATGCTTACTTATTTTTCGAAAACCTGATTGATAGAGAAATAAGTCTTTTTTGAAAAAATATGTCATCTAAATCAGCTTGAGAACTAGCTGCAGAGGAGGACACTTCATCTTGCTTTAGAGAACCTAAAAGGAGGGAGAATCGGAGAAAGTCACGTAAGGACTCACCTTGCTAGCAAGATTCCCTGATACTCTTCCAGTTGTCTCATGAAGCTGGGGTTGGGCTTGGTCACTGTTCGTCTTTCTTTCACGTAGTCATAGGCTCGGTCCAGATTCCAGCCATATTCCTTCATTGCATAGGCAATCACCGTGGAGGCTGAGCGACTCACCCCCATTTTGCAGTGCACAAGGCATTTAGATCCATGTTTCCTTGTTTGAGGGATTGAGGTAAAGAACAGAGGAAGACACAACAGTGGGGATATTTTAAAAGCTGGGTTCTAGATTTTTCCAAGTAACCTGTCCTGTCCTTCCATTTTCTTGCTATGTAGTCTCTCCACTTTGGTACACTCCCATACAGCTATAATCAAATATGTGGGTAGGGTGGGGGAGGCAGCTCTAGTGTCTTCTTAAACAATATTCAATGTTAATAATATATTTCTTTAATCCATTCAGCAAACATTTACCAGGTATTTATAATACGTGTAAGACAAGGTGCAAAGTGCTGCGATACAAAGTGACATATGGCTTTTATCCTAACGGGTAGGATTCAGTGGGAGAAACATACAGTTAAAATTCAGTATGGGGCCAGGCACAGTGGTTCACGTCTGTAATCCCAGCACTTTGGGAGGCTCAGGTGGGTGGATCACTTGAGGTTGGGAGTTTGAGAACAGCCTGGGCAACATGGCAAAACCCCATCTCTACTAAAAATACAAAAATTAGCTGGGCAGGCCAGGTGCAATGGCTCACACCTGCAATCCTAGCACTTTGGGAGGTTGAGGCAGGTGGATCATGAAGTCAGGAGTTTAAGACCAACCTTGCCAAGATGGTGAAACCCTGTCTACCAAAAATACAAAAAAATTAGCTGGGCATGGTGGCAGGTGCCTGTAATTTCAGCTACTCAGGAGGCTGAGACAGAGAATTGATTGAACCCAGGAGGCTGAAGTTATAGTGAGCTGAGATTGCGCCACTACACTCCAGCCTGGGCAACAGAGTAAGACTCTGTCTCAGAAAAAAAGAAAAGAAAAAAAGGAAAAAATTCAATATGGAATGACAATTGGTCACAGGGTGGAGAGGGAGCATTTTAAATTTAGACTGGAGCCCATTTTGTGTGGTGGAGGCCAGTTCCCTCACAGCGCCAGGGGCATGTTTCATGGCTGACACTCTCTTGAGTTACAGGTGTGGCTGTGAGTGAACTAATTGATTCAAATGTTATGAGTTGTTTCCAGTTTAAGTTCCGGTAAGGGTTCTGTCCTTCCTTGGAAAAAAGCACAAACCAAATGAAACTAACCTTCTTCTCTACTCAGATGTAGCACTGGATAGTACTTTTCACAGACATGCAACCTGGGTCTAGGGACAGGCTCTACCACTGAGGAGCTGAATAGGGGCATGTGGTGTACCACATGGCTTTCTCAGTGATGAGGGAGGAAAGAAGGAAAACTGTGGCTTTTTTTCTTTTTTTTAATTAGGTGGAAGAAAGAGAAAACAAAGCTACCTAAAGCTATACTAACAAACAAAACCCCTGAGGCTTAACATGCTGGAGCTTACTCTGGAATATGAACATTATTTAGTATGCTAATTATGCTAACAACACAGTGTCTGGCACATAGTAAACTTTCAAATATTAAATATTGGCTAAATGTATAAATAAACCTGTGGATCTGCTGATTAGGTCTACCAGGTGCTTAAAGTAGGAACGACATTAAAAAATCTGGAAATAAGAACTGTTATCCTTATCCTAGCATACACAGGCTCTGGAATCTTTCTCCAGTGTTTATTCTAATAAACCAAAAAATGTACATGTCAGCATAACAAGAGAAATCTATTCATTCACTCACTCACTATTATGATGGTAGATAAGCTTCCTTTCAGAAGCTTATAATCCTGCTTCTGGAGAAAGAGACATATGAAAGACTTCAGTATAAATGCAAGGAAGTATGAGGTTAAGTGCCAAAATGAGTTAGCCAGGTAAGCTACAGGAATGCAGAGAATGGGCTGGAATAATGGAAAGTCTCAAAGGGAAGGTAAGATTAACCTCCCACTTGTGAATTAAATACAAAATTTGGGTGTCCTAACATTAGTTGGGGTATGTGTCTCTGTGTGTAGTTTAGCCCAAATGACTAGAAAATATTTGTTTGCTTATGGCACCCTAGGGTTTACATTTAAACTACAGTTAGGAAGCTAAGGCAGTGTCTCAGAAGGAAGTTTAGACATGTGCTCTACATTTTCCCATCAAGCTCTGACAACCTTAATGTATCAAGTTTCAGGCCTATGCCTGCAGCATGCAAGGTGCTCAAACCTGGACAACCACAAGTAAAATTCAATTATGAATTCCACTTCCATGAAGACATCTCTTTGGCATATTTTCAACTAGGCTTTTTTGGTTGATACTCCCACCTCCTTTAGCCTTCTAAGTAGCTAGGATCACTGGCATATGGCTTCTAACTCATGTAATGAAGGATCTGAAGTCAGTTATCCCCTAACCCAATTCCACCTTTCAGTGCCCCTACCCATGCTGGACTGTCCAGATTAAGCCTGGTGTCACTTTAAGAATCAGGGTCTTGGTTGGGCACAGTGGCTCACGCCTGTAATCCTAGCACTTTGGGAGGCCAAGGCGGGCAGATTACAAGGTCAGGAGTTTGAGACCAGCCTGGCCAATATAGTGAAAGCCTGTCTCTACTA